CTACAACACAACGTGAACTATGGGACAAATTAACCTTGAAACACCACTGCACTATATGACTGTCTATATTTTCCTGACAGAAAACTTGTTAACATTGTTTAGAATTCGTGAGATTTTGATGTGACAAATAGGGATTTCAAAGGCGCAAGCCTATTTTTCCCTCAAATATACTGACTGACTGACTGATTGATCTCATGAAGTGCTTGCCTATAGGCGTCGGGCCTGATGGTTCTCCAGCGTTTGACGTCGTCTGAAAACATGATGGCGCTGCAACTCAGGTTGTCGACACGGTGGTTGATATAGATTAGGAAGAGCAGTGGTCCTAAGACAGAGCCTTGGGGGACGGCACTTAGAACAGATGTGGGGGTTGACTTCGAGTCACCAATGCACAGAGTTTGCGATCGCCCTGTGAGAAAATCTGTGATCTATTCCAACAGGTTTGCTCTTATTCCACTTTCGATAATTTTTACGTTAGACGTTCATGTGGGACGCTGTCGAAAGCCTTATTGAAATCCGTATAGATGACGTCAACCTTACTATCTTCATCCAGTGCGCGAGTCCACTGCTCGGTCGACGATCGACTCGAGGGCCTTGTTGTGTTGCCTAATCCTGAGAGATTGTTGTACTCTCCTTCCGGCTTAACATGGTTTAGTTAAGGTAGGTCCTGTCTTACGAACCTGTTCTTCTAATCTGAACGCTGGACCAAAGCACGTGCCGAAGGCAAAATTGTGCATGCCATCTACATTGACTTAAAAAAAGCTTTCGACAGTGTGCCTCACCAACGCCTAATACATAAATCGCTCAGCGGAGGAGTTCGCGAGAATCTCTTCCTATGAATCCAAAACATTTTGACCGGATGGTCCCAAAGAGTACAAGTCGGGCGCCAGCAGTCCTCGGGGTACCTGTGGTGAGTGGCGTCGCACGAGGCTCAGTTTGAGGTTCCACATTATTCCTTCTTTTCATCAATTGCTATGTCGGGGACCTGGACTGTGATGACACCCTGTCCATTGACGACAGGAAATTGTGGAACATTGTCCAAAATACAGTAGACGAAAGCCATCTGCAAGCGAACTTGAACAGGTTTGAGGACTAGTGAAAGTATTAGCTTATGTAAGTAAATGCAACTTTCTCCAAATCGGTAATTGCCCAGCATCCAGCGCAAAAGTTTATTCTTTAAACGGTACACCACTGTAACAGGTTGACAGCCGAAGGGGCTTGAGTGTGTAGAGTACTTCTTCATTCAAACCAACACTAAACTGCACGAAGGCGGCAAAGTCAGCCAGATTCATCTTGCAGCAGATTGGGCGAGCCTTTATGGGGTATGAAAAAGAAAGTATTTCAATGATAATTTCAAACTTCGTTCGGCCGCACTTAGAATTTGCCATACAGGCATGGAGGTCCTGGACTCTCAAAGACTGCACCATCTTAAAGGAGGTCCAGAGGCGAACGGCAAAAATGGTCAAATGTCCGCGAAAACTGTCGTATGAAATAATAAATTGCCGTAACCTCGACTTTGGTAAAGTGAACCATGAATTAATAAATGATTTCGTAAGTACCCTAGATTGGCATAACATATTTTTAACTAACGATCCCTACTTCTTCCAGGAGCTATTGCAAAACATTACAGAAAAT